TTTTTTTTTTTTTTGGTCCGCATTCTGCCCGAACGGCCGAACGCCTCCCGAAGGGGTCCCGTACGTTCGGGCGTTCGGCCCGTCCCGAACGCCGGTAACCCTGTATATATTACCGGGCAGTTCTATTTGACGATGTATACTCCGTGGTTGAAGGAGGGCTCCACCCAATGAGATAATTAGTAATTACACAACAGCAAGTAAAATACGGAAAATCTTCTATCCAGTGGGCCTATGGCCGACCGCACCCTCTTTTGGGGTGGGCCACACCCCCAAGGGCCCCAACCAATTGAAAAGATTGGGGGGGAAGCTTCCTTTGCACCGGCATGCCCAGTGTTAAGGAGAGGAGGAGGGGAACAAAGATCTCCTTACTTTTTGGGGTAATACAAGTAAAATAATGACCGTGGGATCACGAGTACTGCACGGCAGGATTTGGGTCACTCAACTGCCACACAAACTCGTTTCTATCCTATCCCGTTGCTAGTGGGACCGCGCCCCTGGGCCGAGGTCCCACCAGCAAAGAGAATCGGATCGAATGCCTGAATCTGGATGTGTTTTATGCAGAGATGCAGAAAAGCAGTTCAATCTCGATTTTTGTTCGGAAAAGAATGACAAAAATAAAAGACAGAGAAAAAAAGAAAAAAAATCGTTTACATCACCTGTGTGATAATTACTATGTCGGTTCCATGCTGTGTGTGTGTATGTGTGACCAGGTAAAGCTTCAGTTTCTGTTGAGTGTTCGGTTTCATGTCATTTGAGCTTTTTCAACGTTGAAGTCCTTCGGCTCGAGGAGCATGGGGCGCAAGGGGTTCAATAATGAGGCTATTGCAAATTGACAGGTCATCCGGCTTGATCCGGCTTGAGGAGCCCATCAGCATGAGGGGCAAGGGGTTAAATAATAAATTGAACGAGTAGGGCTGTTGTAAGTTGAGACTCTTGAGAGTCCATAAGCTTGAGGAGCAAGGGGTTAAATAAGGGAGGGACCAAAATAAGAGGGTTAAATAAGGGCTTTTGGGCCGTTGTATATTGACAGCCCATCAGCCTGAGGGGGAGCTAGGGGTTCAATAGTTAGGCTATCGTAAATCGACAACCACCGTCTTTCCCCCGAACACAATGGTCCCTTATTTTGGCTGTATTTTTAGTCGGAAATATAGCTTGTATACATTCATTTTTAGGGTGCATTATGTTCGGGGGAAGACGGTAGTTCTACGAGGCACTGCGCGCCACTGCTTCCGCTTTTGAGGGGTGTGGGATGTCGAGTCTGGGCTGCATTGGATTCTTACAGCTCCACTCCCTCCACCCCCCTCCTCAACCCCCCGCCGCGCCGCCCCCTGGTGGTTATGTCCGCGCTTAGACAGCAGGAGTTGGGTTGGAAAACTGACCATGTTCATGCTAGTTTAGCATGAATGTTGCACCAATGTGAATGCATGCTGCTGCTTTTCAGATTGACCCCTCCGTAGAGTCGGGGACCGCATGTCCATCCAGCTCCCTCAGAACATGGAGGCGAGAGAGCTTTTTTTTTTTTTTTTTTTTGTCCAAAAGGATAGTACAGAGTATACAGACACAGTAAAATGCTTACACAGATAAGAAAACAAATGTGCATACATTAGAAGTAAGTTTGTGTACAGTAAAAGTAAATTTTTGTGAGATTATTAGAGTTATAGTGAAAGTAGATTTGTGAGATTTACTAGGGTAAAAGTAAATTTGTGAGATTAGTAGAGTTCCAGTAAAAGTAAATTTGTGAGATTACTGGGGTTTGTAAAAGTAAATTTGTGAGATTTAGTGGGTTGGTATTGTATAACCGGCTTCACATGCACGTGCGAAAAGGGCTGGTATCTCGAGAAACTGACCACCATCTAGGGCAGTTATTTGGGCAATGAAAGCAGCATGTGGGGGCTCTGGTCGAAAGGGGGTCTAATTTGTGTTATCCAAGGGGGTATCCTGGCAGTTCTTTTTTTCTTGAGGAGGGGGGAGGAGGGGATAGAAAGGGGCGGAAGGGGGTGGTTCAGATGGGTGGGTGATTGAAGAGAATGTTAAGGTGGTAATGTGCACATCCTTTGGAAGACAGGGTTATCCAGCCATTGTTCTCCACCACCGCGGTTAGCGACTTAGCGCGCCGCGACTTTCAGGGCATGACCTACAAGAGCTAAATGGCTGACAGGGTTACGTGGTCCATTAAGCCACCAGTACGTTTCCCAGCCGTTGTTCTCCAACGCAGCGGTTAGCGACGTAACGCGCCGCGGCGACTTTCAGGGCACGACCTACCAGAGCTAAATGGCTGGCGGCTCGAGCCGAAAAAAAAAAGGTGCCGGTTCATTTTTTGTTGGCGCGCAGGGCATTTCTAGGCTCGGAAAGGGAAGGGTCCCAGGTACTGGTGGTGGCCTCAAAGGACAACGTGGTGTTTGTACATACATCGACCGGTGTGAAACGAAAAAGAAATCGTCTGCTTGGCAGTGGCTGGCACAATTTGGATAGGATGCAGATATCCCCAAGTTCATGGTGAGGACTGGGACTGGAACTGGGAATGGGTCTGGGACAGGAACTGGGTCTGGGTCCAGGGGTGGGTCTGGGTCCGGGGGTGGGTCTGGGACTGGGAATAGGACTGGGACTGGGACTGGGGTTGGCACTGAAACTCGGACTGGGACTGGGACTGGGACTGGGTCTGGAACTGGGTTGGGGACTGGGACTGGGACTGGGACTGGGTCTGGGACTGAAACTGTGGCTGGGACTGGGATTGGGACTGGGTCTGGAACTGGGACTGGGACGGGATTCCTTGGACTCCTGGGACTGGGACTCCCGGGACTGGGACTGGGACTGGGATTGGGACTGTGGCAACGACTGTCTTGGAAGCTCGTCTTCTCAATCCAAGGACCTTTTTCACTTTAGGCTATTTGTGGGGGAGGGGGAAGGGGAGGGGGCTGCCGTCAAGAAATGGGATGGGATGGGATGGGATGGAATGCTCAGGAGTCGAAATACTGACATCCAAATGGCATTGATTTCTGTACAGCTGAACAGTCAACGTACTAGGTTTGACTTTCTTAAGATTTTTTTTTTTTTTTGTGCGTTTCTTAAGAATTCGCAGTCAGCTCAACTTAGCTGTACTTTTGTTTGAAGTTTTGAGCAAATTTGTCTAGATTCAGGAGGTCAAGTTCTCGATTTCTTTTTGATATGAATCTGCACAATTCTTTTGTTGTTGTTGTTGTTGAATTCACAAGTCTAGCTTCGAAATTGAAGGTTTGGCACATTGGACCTTGGTGCACTACTCTCCGCATGCACGAAAGACAAAAAAAGATGGCAATGAATGTATCTTTCCATGTTCTAGCGGTGGATTCATTTTTCATTTTGCACATTTGGAGAGTAGTGCAGTGAGTTTTGTTAGTCGGAGCACACTCACACTAGCACAATCTTAAATGTACCTGACCATAAATAATTATGGCCCTTTGTAGATATGCATCTGACTCTAATTGCATCCACAAATAAGTAAGCAAGTCCTAAACTGTGAGTATGGGGCTCGCTGCACAGCCTTTCGAAACGAGGCATTTTCTGAAATTTGGATTTGGCAGACGGAATTCGAAAGGAGTACTTTACTTTCGAAAGAAAACCCCCCTTGGGCCTTCGCCACACGGACTTTCGAAACAGCGAGGGCTTTCGATATGCACATTAGTGCCTCGCTCCACTACTCTCGCCATGTGCAAAAGGATGGTGTGAATCTTCCCCTTGAACATGGAAAGATACATCATCATGATTTTTGTCTTTTGTGCATGTCGAGAGTAGTGGAGCCAGGCCCTGGTAATCGCCCCCCCTTTTTTTTTTTTTTTTCCGCTAATCGGCCGTCTCGAGAGGCCCTTTCCAAAAGACCACTCACGGTCTTTCGAAGAAACAGTCGTGACAGGCGGGACGATCTTTCCCTTTCGAAACTACTTTCGATGCCCGCGTCTCTGATGACACCTTTCGAAAGTTTTTCGAAAGGTGTTGTTTCAAAAGCCTGTGTGGCGAAGATGCGACATCCATTTTGTGCACGTTTCGAAAGGCTGTGTGGCGAGCCCCTAGACAAGCCTCGCTCCACTTAGGGCCTCACCACACCACTCTCGAAATGTGAAAAGACAAAATTGTGGCGGGTGCATCTGGCTATGTTCTAGCCGGAAGTTCATTCTCATTTTGCACATTTCGAGAGTGGCGTGGCAATGCCCTTACTCTATACTACTATGGCCACACTCTAGAAGCACTCCCGGATTTCGTGAGCGTTTTTCTTTTGTTTCTAGTGCACTACGAGACAGCGCCAGCCCATTCTGACGACTGGGACACCAGGCACATTGCGTGAAAAAGAAAAGCCGCATTGGGGGTAGGAAGGAGGACACTGGAAATCCAAAGCGTTGCAGGCTGTGAACTCGGGATGCTTCGTGAGTGCCCTTCGTGTCTGCTTTCTGACAGCTCTCGAAGGGTGTTTTCGGTTTTTTTTTTTTTTTTTTTTTTTTTTTTTAGTTGGTGTCTAGAGCAGGTTGCCACCAGAGAAGTACCCTGCCCCTAAAAGATGGAAGGCTGGTTGTTGTTGTTGTTGTTGTTGTTGTTGTTGTTGTTGTTTTCTTGTGTGTGTGTGTGTGTGTGTGTATTTTATTGTTGTCCTGGTTGGCTAGCATGGAAAATTTGTCAAAACAGACGGCACGTCCGGCCCGCCTCCATCTTTTTCGTTTCTTTTGCCAAAGAAACTGTAGTGTGGGATCAGACCCTAACCCTTTGCCGGAGTCCTGAAATTTGTGGATGAGGTCATTTTCCCGAATGAGAGAAAAACAAGTATTAAGGTATCAGGCTTGAGTGGACTTTTTTGAAGTTTGAAAAACAAACTGGGGCCCATGTGTATTTGTGCGGAGCTTCACTATCTGGGACCTGTGCCAAGCATCCCATGGGCTGAACAATCGTAGATACAGAATCATCATGAATGAATGACAGGCAGCCTGTGCTTATATCCCCATCCGAGACCTGGGGCTAGGTCCCACTTGCACGAAGTAAGAGATAAGAGACCGTAGATAGCCGAGATCGACGGACGAAATCTTCTAATCCGTGCAAGTGGGACCTTGCCCCTGGAGATCAAGCATCTACATTTTCAAGGGCTCTTTCGTCAGAGAAGCAGTGATGATTACCTCCCCACATGGAGAGGGATATACTGTCTGGCAGTCAGTGTCTGCCCATGACAACGACGACTACTTGGTCCATAGATCGGCCGCGCGGGCTCTTGTCGTATACGCGCCGCAACTTTGATGGCTCTGCCTCCAAAGCGAAATGGCCGACAGCGCCAGCCACAAGGAGGCCGCAGCAGATCGTGTTTTTTTTTTTGGCTCGCTTGGCATTTCTAGGGTTGGAGAAAACTTAAGTGCCTTGGATCTTTGCGTCGCCGCCCTCATCCCCATGACAATCTATAAAGTGGCGCGCATTTCACTGCAGACAGCTATATTGCAAACGTATGACCCAGATCTGCCTGGGGCCGGGTGGGTTAACTTGAACCGGTACCTTCCCCGCTATGAAAAGAAAGGTGTGGCGGTTAACACGGAGGGGGGCCTATGCGGGCGGCGGCAGCGACCGCATACATTGAGAAATCTTGGCGCGTGCCGCCCGCGGCCGACATATGGGAAAGGTACTGGCAGTTTAACCCACCATTACTTCGCCCGGCTATCGGCCATGTAAAAAAATAAAGTAGAAACGTTTCTAGTCGGATGAATTTGGGCACTCCTTTAATGGCCCGTACGTTTCCTGAAATCGTGGCTTGTTAATGGGGATGACTTTAGGAGGAAGAGTACTGATGGTTTAAAAAACCAAGAAACTAGACTGCCTGAGACCTACAGA